ATTTATTTAATTTATTTAACTATGATTGTTTCTTCACCAGATAACAACTTTGGAAAGGAGAGACCAGTGAACTTAAAGAGTTTTTAACTTTTTCTTAAAATCAGGACTATTTATTAAGCATGTTGGATTTCTCTCTTTTGTATTTGATAGTATTCTGCTGCTATCCTGGTTTACTGGGTTATAGTTTTAACCTATTAACTTTGGTGTGTGCTTAAAACAACAGATCAATGTCGATAATATATACTGTAGCTGATACGTATGTATCTCAGGAATCTGTTGACAATTGCATGTTTAGTCCAGTTTATCTCTAGTTAGATATTAGGGTAGTTGAAGTGCCCTTTTAATGCTGATTCTTGCTTTCTTGAATCATTTGTCATTTATTTTTAAAAGCATCAATCCCATCCTGTCCCTGAGTCAATGGTCCATAGTAGATTCTGATTGCTATGTTCCATTTTGTTCCTTTTCCATTTTTTTACCAAGATCCTGTCCACAGGGCTATATTTTCTACTCATAGCAAATGTTGTCTGATTTTAGACAAATTTGACACACAATACTAACCTGGTTTTCTGCTCTGTCCATTTTGATCAAATTAAATCTTCAATTGCTGTGTTCCACTTATAAGGGCTGTACCCCCTAAAAGGTATCAGTTATATCTGTTAAACAGTATTTACCCTCCTTCTACCAGGAATTCAAGCTTTATGTTTTAAGCTCTGCACATTAGTATGTAGTTTGAAACCTAGATATTCTACCATAATGTGTTTTCCTGTATGCTGGAATTTGCCTGATAAAAACCCCAGTCTTTTGGGGAGGGGATAGTACTTGAAGTAGAAACATTGAATGTTCTCAATTGTTGCTTCTGCCACTCCAGTATTTGGAACTGAATTTTAAGGGGACAGTGAAAGGTACATACAAGGATGAGTACAGACAAGTAGCAAGGAAATGCAGGGATAGCATTAGGAGGACAACAGCTGAAAATGAGCTGTGGTTAGCTAAGGACACTAAAAGCAGTAAAAAAGCATTCTTCAGGTATGTGAGTAGCAAAAGACAAACAAAAGACATAGTGGCACAGCTCCACAATGGAGATGGAAAAATGATAACAGAGGACAAAGAAAAGGCAGAGGTGCTCAATCCCTATTTTAGTTCAGTTGTTTCCCATAAGACAGACTATAAACTTCCAAACATATTGGAAGTGCAAGTGTGTGTGTGTGGGGGGGGAAAGATTGCAACTGGAGATTGATAAACACATAGTCAAGGAATACCTTACCACCTTAAACGAGTTCAGATATCCAGGGCTGGATGAACTGTATCCAAGAGTACTGAAGGAACTGGCTGAAGAACTCTATTTGCACGTCATCTATTTTCTGCAGGTCGTCAGAAAAGCCAGGAGTCATTGTCCGGACATTCCAGGTGCCCAGCTTTAGGGCAGAAGTTTTCTTATGATTGTTGCATAGTGCAACATGGATATCTGGTTTCTGAAAGCCATATTATATTACACATTATGTCAAATATCTATTTGCTTCAGAAAACAGCAGCAACATAGTTTAGTCCTTGTTCTGTATTGTATAGATCAGCGGTCCCCAACCTTCAACCTTTTTGGAACTGTGGACTAGTTGGAGGGGCAGGCTCCGTGCGTGGGGGGACACCCCACACTTGCGGGTGGGCGTGTCGCGCTTGCAGGTGGGCGTGTCACGCTCTCAGTGGGGTATCGTGCTCTTGGGGGACATGTCACGCACCCACAAGCATGACACAGCCCCTGCAAACATGACCCGCCCATCGTGTGGGGGGGCAGAGATCCATCTCTGTGGCCCCGTCCTAGGAAACCCATGGACTGAGACTGGGACTGCAGCTTGGGGACCCCTGGTATAGTTATCTTAGCCATGTTCTCTTGTTATAATAGACACTGACAGCCAGGGAAGATTAAGTAAAATAACTTCACAAAAAATATTCCCCCAAAGGCAACAAGGAAACCAGTGAATATGGTTAGATAAGTATTCCTCATTTAAAACTCTAAATATTTTTGTAAAAAAATGGATTTTCTGATGTGTAATAAATTAAGCTAAGAAACAATCGTATCATTCAAGCTTAAGGTATAACAGTTTCTTGTAAGAGAGCTTAATCGTTGTATTAACATCTTTTATATGAAATTCAGAATAATCCTGCCATGTTTCCCTGAAAATAAGACAGGGTTTTATACAGTGATGCCTCACAAGACTAAATTAATTCATTCCGCGAGTCGTGTCGTATTGCGAAAATTTCATTTTGCGAAGTGCGGTACTAATGGTTGTGCGATTTAAAACAACCCCCCCCCCAAAAAAAAGAGAGAGAAAAATTGGTCCTGCGAATCACGCCATAGAAAAATTCATCTTGCGAGTCACCAGAAAAAATTGCAAAACACTTTCGTCTTGCGAGTTTTTTGTTGCGTGAGGCATTTGTCTTGCGAGGCATCACTGTATTAATTTTTGCTTCAAAAAACACATTAGGGCTTATTTTCAGGGGATGCTTTATTTTTTCATATACAATCTACTTTTATTCAAATACAGTCATGTTGTCTCCTTCTGGTTGCTGCACAATGGTGGAGGGCGGGCTTTCACTTAACTAGGACTTATTTTTGGGGTAGGGCTTATATTACAAGCATCCTGAAAAATCATACTATGTCTTATTTTCAGGCTAGGTCTTATTTTCAGGGAAACAGGGTAAATTAATTTATGATATGTGATTTGTGCTATATTTTTTAGAATGTTTTTCTATATGAATTCTTGTTCACATACAGTATATATCCTTTCAGTCAGTCATAGCCAGTTTCATGAGGGTAGCTTGTTTTTACCTAGTTTTGAGTGCTGCTGAGTACATAGCCGTAAGTCTTCCAGTGTTTCTCTCTGTCATGTGTCTGGCTGCTGACCCCATTTCTCTGCTAGCTTATTCAGTCATTAGTGGAGATGCCTCCCAGCAACAGAAGCCCATGCGTATTGTTGCTTTTTAAGAGTAATAATTCTTGGTGTAGGATGACTAGTGCTGGAGTGTTGTGGTCCTATCCTTGTGCTGGCTCTGTCAGCTATCTCACCCAGCCACTGAGAGATCATATCAAATAGACTGCAGTTTGTGAAAGCTCATGCTGGCCTGATGTCCCTGATGTTTTGGATTGTACTGTCCATCTGCCCTTGCCAGCATGATTCCTGTTTGGGATTGGGATGAAGTGTAGCACCCACTACGTTGGGGAAGTTTTGCTTGTTTCTTAATAAATAGTTAGTCTTTAAAATGACACAAGAGTCTCTTACTTTTGTCTCAAGCTGAGTAACACTGCTGTCCTCCTAGAACTTACAGTATTTCCAAAATTACTGTAGCGATAGGAGTTGAGCCTTTATATTACTGCTTACTAGGCTAGTGTTCCCCTTGTGATTTGAGAGAGGTACTTCTAGCTTCCTGTGCAATTAGTAGAAATTGAGACTCCGGTGGCATGCTTATTTTTTCCAGGTTGGGTCAGTCATATATTAATATTGCTAACAGATGAAAGTTATACTTTTGTGTTCCTGCAGTACGTATATGTGCATATTTAGGCCAGATTGAATATCAGTTTATTTAATAGCTTCTAGCTTTTTGTACACTGTGTGTGTGAGAATTATTTTGCATGCTTCTTTATGTCCCCTTGGGAGATGTTGAAGCATTGACTAATACGATGCTATTTGCTTCCAGCTAGATAACTCAGAAATTTTCCATGTAAAAAGTAAATGGGCAATTTAGCAACCGAGTCTGTTTCTCATGTTATATATAAAGCCTTTGGGTCTTTTTTGATTTAAATCATTTCAGTATATTGAAGAACAGACAGGTAAGTAGCTTATGTTTTGAACATTTTTTCCTTAATAATTCAAGTACAGGAAAAGTTACTTTTTTGGATTCCACTTACTAAATCCACCAGCCAACATAGAATTTCTGGCTGGTAAGTTCTGAGAGTTATATTCTTAAAAATAAATGAATGAATGAGCTTTATTAAGGTCACTGACCAGCAGTATTTTTTTTTAAAAGTAACTTTTCCATTCACCAGATTGTACTGGGTGTTTTTCTCAATATGCGTTCAACGTAGTGGTTTAAGTGGTATTAACATATCACTTTTTAAAAAATACAAAGTTTTTGCTCATTCTTATTTTAGATGTCAAAAGATCTAGGTTTTTACCTTTTTATTTTAATACTTTTCTGAAAAGATTCTACAGTCTGTTATTTCTTTATGAAGTTTGGGAGTATATTCATTTGTGGCCTTGGGTTCCTGCTCAGTTTTAAAGAGTAATAAACGCAATTGGTAAATTAAGTAGCTTTATATTCCTTTAACAACTTTTAAAATTCCCATTCTTTTCTGTATATCTTTATCAATTTGGTTTATTTCACTGTTCTATGATAATAATAACCCCTTTAGAACAACACTCCAATGCTTGCTTTCTTCTTTTGCCTAAATACAGTAATAATTTCAGAGTTTAAATCAATCACTTTATTCTTTATTACATCTTTTTTGTTGTTTGTGAGCTCAATTCAGATGCTGGGTTTTTAACCTTTAAATTTCTGCATAAGAATTGGACAGTCTCCTGCTCTGCAGATATTTTAACTTACAGTTCCTACACTGTTTCGTCATTGGCATGCTGAGTGAGTCTGATGGGAGTTGTAGGTCAAAACATCTAAAGAGCCAAATCTGCTCCTGCTCTATCCAGTTTGGAACCACGTTGCTTAATGAACCACTTATAAAAGTCTTCAAAGGGAACCTTACATAAAGAGTCAAAGTTTCTAAACTATCTTCAAAGGAAA